GAACAGATGCATCTGCATTGGGTTCTTATACACCACCTGTGGCTGCAGGGAGTGGAAAGAGAAGATTTTCTGAACTGCCAGTAGCTCCTGCTTCTGCTCCTAAAGAACCTCATACTGCATATAGGGATCGTGCAGCCGAGAGAAGGAGCTTGTATGGTTCTTCGTTGTCGTTTGGAGATGATTCATCGGATCTTGGTTTTGGGGAGTCAAGTAAGTTTTCTTAAGAATATGTTTCCGATCGGCTTGCCCCTTTTTTCTTTCTTACAAGCTCAATCTATAAATGTGCCTCAATCCAGTTCCAGTTATTAAAACCATCTATCATGCTACCTATCATACTGGTCTGCATAATTGATTGGAACATGTCAGCTAAATTTAGTTCTTCAGTACCCAAACAGGGTCGTCCAAGTTGGATGAGTCATTTTTCTATTTCACAATATTTGAATTGACTTGTAAAATATCCTGTGGTTACTATTTTCTACTGTCAAGATCGAGATTCTGCATCAAGGAAGGGTTCTTTTGATTCAATGCCCTTTCCCCCCGGTGTGGGTGGAGGACGTGCGGTTGGAGATGCCAACATTGACAGTTACGAGGTGATTACAGCTGAAAAAGCAATTGATGAGAGCAATGTGGGCAACAAGATGCTTCGCAACATGGGCTGGCACGAAGGCTTGGTATCATATCCTTCTTTTGCACTTCTAGATTATTCTAAATTTTTAGCTTACCTCATTAACTTGACCTCACAAAATAAATCCCAAATCTCCCAATTGCTGAAGGTAGAGTTTAATTCTTGTACGATAATAAGAAATCTTACCAGTTGAATGAGCTAGCACCCTCAAAATTATATTAACTATGCATTTGCTTGAATGTTTTAAGAAAACCTCCTTGTTTCTCTGATGAAATGATTCTAGCAGTTCCCTATTTTTTTCTATAGATCAAAAAGTGAATTTGGTAGATGTTATTTACTTATTTTCTAACCATATATATTTTGGGGATTGTGTCTTTTTCTCCTTTTGCTATTCATCCCATCACAGGGGTTGGGAAGAGATGGAAGTGGAATGGTAGAACCAGTGCAGGCTCAGTCAGTGGAAAGGAGAGCAGGACTTGGGAGTCAACAGAAGAAGTTAGATCCTACTCTGGAGGTGCAGGCTGGAGATAGTTACAAAACACTCATTCACAAGAAGGCGCTGGCCAGGTTCCGGGAGATGTCGTAAGACAATATAAGGAAACCTTTATTTTGATTTATATTTCCCTTGGAAATAGATATAGATCAGATATTAAGCTACTTAGGGATGATGATTGGAACAAAGCAATGGAAGCAGATGTGGAGCAAGTGGCAATTGTCGTAGATTATTGTTTATGCTTCCCTTTTTCAAAGGTCTCTTGGGGTCCTTGTAAAAACTTGCTCTCTAGCACTCCGTAGTGTTGCATTTTTTTTTGTGAAGGATAAAACTGTACCTTTCGTCTTTCAAGTGTACATCAGTTTAGTGAATGAAAAAGAATTACTTTTAAAGAAAAACAAATACTTCGATTTACGTTTTTACAGAATTACTTAACAGGATACTTGCGATAAAAGAAACCAAATCTAAATCTGAACATAGAATGTGTGTCAAAACATCTTATCATTTCAAGTTTGTTTTAATCGTAATAGCAGGTGATACACGATCCACTTTTACGCAAGTTCATTTGTCGAATTGGGATTCCAGTTCAGAATCCTTTTGCCTCAAGGACTTCCAGAAAGGAAAGATTCCGTTCTTTCAAAAAGTTCCTCTTGTTTGTACCAAAATTAGCTTTTTTACTCATTATTTGCCAGAATAAGATTTTAAGGAAAGCGTTTTCGACCAAAAAAATGAAGATTTTAAGGAAGCACGTTGTTAAACGCCAATTCTAGCATAACTTGTGGCCAGTATTTGGCAAATACCCATTCTCTATTGCTCAGCCAGAGCATGGAACCCAGGTGCTTATGGATGTCAATCAGATTCTATGGGTCCGAACAACTTTCGTTGCTGATATAAAGTTGGCTCCTTCATGAAAGTTATTCCAACGGATGTCTAGCATGACATGCAAATTTGGGATCACTCTGACTATTTCTGCCTTTTGGGACTGTCACACTGTAACATGTTCAGAGTTAGTTGGCTGCGAACCAGCCATTTTTAGTTAATGAACAAGTTTGTGTAATAAAGAAAATATTAAAATAAGGAAAGAGGCTTTGTTGACAACTATGTAGATGTTCACATGTAAAGGAAGAAAACAATTAAATATTGTTTGTGAGAGTAAAAAGAGAGAATTAAGAAAGAAAGAAGAAGGAAGGAGAGCAGCAATGGGAACCAAGTGTTAGGCATCTCCAGTCATGGCCATGGCCAAATGTTTCCCTCAAAACATGCAAAACCCATGGTGATCGACACCACCAACCCAGATAGAAAGCCTGATATCTTGTGAACATAACCCAAGAAGAATCGGAGTCATCGGAGGTACGGTGAAGGCAGGGCGACGCCGTAAAGTTGGTTCGTCAACAGTGAAATCAGCAACTTCAACAGGCGGTTTGAGCCACTTACACTTCTAATTGGACCTCGAGGTAAGAATTAAAGTTGTTCTACTCAGTATTACGAACATTTTGGCATAGGTCT